GTTCAAATCCCGCCAAACGCCTAGAGTTTTTCACACTTGGGTCAACTCAAGCCACAATAATCTCCTCCACGTCACCCGCATTTCGCCGTACTACCGCTTGACAGCGCATCACTGTCAGTTTTCAGCTGAAAAATTACTTTCCTGATCCCACTTCAACACAGGCATTAATCGAGGACTTAGGAGCAGGATTGCGAAGACGCGTTGAAGTAGAAAAGCAACCCGCCTGCAACTAGTACCACGCCGACTAAAATTAATAGGCATAATTACGCCTACTGAAATGCGTATAGTAGTTATTGTTATATTTTAAAACACCCACTACTTATCTGGTCCGTTGCAAAGCAGCACGGGTAGAGCATTTGGCAGCAACCGACTCGTGTACTGCATGCATACTTTTTTAATCTAATACAGAGTCTTTATTTTTGGCGATGAAAAGCACAAAAAGCGAGGTTTGTTCTGAGGACGGGAAATTTTGAGGAAGAAAAGTGTTTCCTTTAACAAAGGTGAGTATAACAGCTATTGTTGACAGCAGATCAAAAAAGGCAACCAACACTTAATTCCTACCCCCAACTTAAAATGGCTTCGGGTAGTATATGAAGCGTACATTGAGATCATTTGGTATGTATCGCCAGCCAATCAAGTTTACTGTTTAAAGTCCAGAAGGTACAACGGAAAGCACTCAGGACCACACAAACGCAAATAACACAATGTCCACTGTCCTTATCCTGTCACTAAAGACCATTTGAAATTTAAAAATGTAAAAAGATAACAGTTTGTTTCAAACGTTGCATTTCCACCTGCAGTTCTTTAAAACGTGCGCGAAGTTCCCTGGGCGTTAGGCGAAACTCGTCCAGTCCGTCATTCCAGGTGATTCGATCAAAAACGTCAAGGTCACCACCAACCAACCAATCGCCGGACTCCATGATCATCTTTATGACTGGATGGCCTGTATCGCAGATGCCGAAAATTCGACTGCAGCGTTCAACCTGGACAAAATGAAGGAGTAAAATTAAGCAGGCGAAATGAAAAGTGGGCCTATTTTCTACTCATGAATCCTGTTCAACAAATGTAGGGGAGAAGTTGACATCTAGCTCAAAATTATCCTCGAATCTTTGCTAAAGAAGCCTTTTCTAGTTGTCTACCGGACACCAGCAAACTTCCCCAAAGGCCTACGCTAGCGGGTGCTATCAATCACTGAGGTGGTGATTATACGGCCAGCTAACCCAACGTTTCGTCGTCAGTAAACTTCGGTACAGGTGTTTTGTCTTCCGTGGCCAGTGCCGCGTCCTAATTCT